AGTAATAACAACCTCTGCCGTAACAACTTGCGTTGTGTTTTCCTGCGCTTTGAATATTTTTATTTGATATGTCATGTGTTTAAGTTTATATTCTGACATTGCAGGAACATTTAATTGGTTACGACATTTTTATGTCGAAACATTTAGTGTCCTAACAGTCTGTGTTACAGGGGGAAAATATCTCTTTTGCAGAGGGAGTTCTTGTTAAACATGGATTTTGACCAATCTATGCCAAAGGGGGAGATTGTTGGCGCCAGATTTCCGACTATTGAAGATCGAGGAAATCGGCCTTAAAAGATTGGCAAAGATTTGTTTTCCATGTTTATTTTGGAATTTATTAGAGTCCTACCTCTATTAGGACTTAGATTTATTTCCATGTATTTTATTTTAGTTAGGTATCTTTTGTACTTATCTAGAATAGAAGTAGAAATAAACTAGGATTCTATTACCTAGTTAAATAGATTTCTTGGGGTTCAAGTTGGATTTTAGGGCTTATTTTCGTGGCTATATAAGCCTCCAAGACATACAAGAACCGTGTGCATTATTTGGATGAAAAGCCATTTCATAGCATTGAAGGTTTGCTAAGCCGTTCTGCGGAGCAGGACTGTGCCATCGTTGCACTGTGCATCGCTGTGTGTGCCAACATATACAGATCTTCTGCATAGATCTCAAGGGAGATCAACCGCGTTTCTGAAGGGAGTTCAGACCTGAAGGGAGTTCGAGGCACGCGGTGTGGAGATGCAGTTGGAAGAGACACGAAGTTCAAGTTGTGTACAAGAACGGCATAAAGAATTAAAGAGGGAGTCTTAATTGTTTTAATAAGTCCTATTAATGTACACTGTAAATCTGAACTAGTAAAATCGTGTTTGCAGGTCCACGTGGATGTAGGGCACATTTGTGTCTGAACCACATTAATTCTTGTGTTTGTTTACTCGCTTTCAATAGTTTATAACTGTGTTAACACAAGATTTGTAGTTGTAACTGAATACTGTTCCCACAACAACTGTTACAACTTAGGTTAACAGATTTTCATAGGCATTTAAAATCAACAGCCACGATGGGAGCAAATGCTCCCACCGCGATGCCAGTGAATGCTCCTCCCGCGATGCCACCCATGGCACAACAACCGGTCCAGAACAACGACCACCAAATAAGTGTGTACTCATCCACCTCAGTCCCACGGTCCCGGATGCAGCAATCCTCCAATCATAGGGGGGCACAACCTAGACAGCAAAGCCAGCGCTCACCCCCACGAGGTAATGCATCTCCACGGACAGCTCCTCTCCTTAATGAAGGAGAAGACGAGATAAATAGTAGAGTATCTCGCCAAAAATCTTTCCCCCAAACGAACAACCTAATTGGCGGAAGAGCGCCAGTTCCAGCAAGACGCAATCCTTTCACCATGAACATCCTCAATGAGGTATTGCCTCAAGGAGTGAAAGTATCAGGCTTACCTCAGTTCGAAGGAACCACTGACCCGCAAGAACACATAGAGAAGTTCCATGCCATGGCAAATTTGTATGGCCCGACAGATACAACAATGTGCAAGATGTTCCGCACCACTCTCTCCAAGAAGGCCATGGATTAAATCATTTTTTTACCTACAGGATCAATCGACACTTTCTCTCGATTGTCGCAGCGCTTTACCAACCAATTCGCCATCAACAAGCAATACGTCAAAATCTCGGCATACCTTTTCTCTATCGTACAGAGAGACAGCGAAACACTCCGCAACTACATCAGGCGTTTCGTGGAAGCTGTCCATGAAGTTCCCAGCATAGGAGAAGACATGTGTTGGGTTATATACCTACACGCAAATGCACTAATCGCAAACAAGTAGTAATAGTGGACTCGAAAGAGTCGGATGCCGATCCCACATGTAATACTCAAATTACCTAATTTTAAATACCAAATTCCAACAATTATGTTTTTTATCTAGCCTACGCAAGGTTGTTGAATCTAATCAACTAAATAATTAAACTAATTATGAAAGCAAATAATTACGAGAAAGATATCAATAAAAACGGATCTAGGATTTTATCTCCCCCTATGCGATAATTCAACACCCATGTAAACCTCTATCATGCATGTTACGATTCCCGATTATTAACCCGAGACACGAAATTACTCATAACCCGCTGTAGCGTGTATTATGAATCTATTGTTCATAAACGGTTCACTATGTGTCTATGCAAACAATTATGAATAAAGCATTAACTAACAAGTCTAGTAAACAGCTAAGGTGATATTTGTATGTCTACGATACCACATGCAATTGACACACTCATCCGGTGAAACCTACTCGAAGGCTCTTCTATCCCCATTCTAATATTAAAACGATCTGTCGATTCAATTCTAACAATAACACATAGCAACATAAATTAACTAGGTTCATGCACTAAATAAGATCAAATAGAAGAAATAATCATGGAATTAAACTTGCATAATATTAAAAACTAGGTTCGGATCACCACATAGGGTTCCAACAAAATCCTAGATTAAAAGGTTTAGCTACTCATGTTTTCTACGAAAAACATCATAAAAATATTAAAATACATAGATTGAGAAAAGATAGATGAAAGAAGAATTATGATGAAGACTTGTCAGTTCTTCGTCTTCGATTCTCCGTTCTCTCGCTCCTCTTGCTCTCAGATTGTGTCAAAAGTTTTTTAATTCGTGCTTGGTCTTTGCCCTTAAATTGATGTCTGAACTTGGTAGAAGATTTAGGTTTCCTTGTATGATTAAAACTCTAAAATTGCTTCCAACATGTTTTCACACGTCCGTGCGAGAATCAGTACAATTCTCACATGGCCGTCTCAAATCCCGAAGCTTTCTGCCCAAACTCTGCAGTTGGCACGGTCGTGCCAGAAATAGGCTATTTTTCACACGGCCGTGCCAGGCCAATTTTTAGCCTCCGATTGTTTTCTTCCATTTTTGCCCCTTTTTGACCTTTTTTGGCTCGTTTCATCCTTAAATCTCCCGAATCTTCAAGTTATACCTAAAATACAACAAACCAATGATTAAGCACCATAAAATCAATAAAAGTATACCAAAAATCATCGTAAGAAGGTATATATTGAGTGTAAAATATACAGTCAACACACCCCCAAACTTGAACTTTTGCTTGTTCTCAAGCAAAAACTAGCAACTTTCAAAGCAACACTTTCGACAAATGTCTCGCATCATATAGATTAATGGTCAACTTCACGTTTTCAGAACTTGCAATTATCATGACAATTCTCAAAAATTTGCAAGCTCGCAATTCAAAGATACGTATTCATTTATCATTGTTAAAAACCACAAACCATGCTATCGCTTCAAGTATCCCATATTTGTAAATTAAAAATGGAGAAAATGTACATAATAGTGTTCGACTCCAAGGACTTACCAAATTTATTTACTTTGTTAGTATCAAACAATTGAGCTATTGGGATCATTGGGACTTTTTTGGCTTTCAAATGTTGGGCTTTTGGTACAAGGTAGGAAATATGGGTAAAAATGGCTACTCTTCTCCTTTCATCTTACAATTAGTAACTGAGAGTTGCACTGAAGGACTTTTTAGCTCTCGTTCTTGACTCGAGGTGTTTTCGCTAAGATTTAGCTTTTGGAAAAAAAACATTTCACCTCGAAGGAATTATTACCTAACTCGATTTTCTTACGAGTTCAAAAGTCTCCACTTATGCTCTTGACATGATGGTTCGAGTTTTTACATTGAAATTCTTCTCAAGTCATTTCTTCCCCTTCGATCTCACTTCTTTTTCCTCTTCTTTAGTTACTTTTTTTTTGGAATTATACTCGAAGGGATATATTCAAGAAACGTCCTCATATTCTACCCGAAAAACAAGGCTAAATAAAAGAACACTGTTTCTCCAAGGCTCAATCAAGGTTCGAGGGATACAAAAAAAATGAGGTTGGCTTGAAAGGCTCAAAGGGTTCAAAGATGGCCCAAATCACTTCCCAGATTGCTCAACAATTTAATATTTCACATTGTAAATTCCTAAGGCAATTCTAAAACCGAACATTATATGATATAGGATAAATTAACTCCACATTTAAAAAAACAAAATTTTCAACAAAAGCAACACATAATTGATGATTCTCAACGATGACTCACTCCTAAATTACTTTGAATCGAAAGCTCACCAAAATTCAAGTATAACTCAAGTATAACTTGAACAAAGCAAGTAATATCATCATCAAACATTGGCCATCTTTCATCATCAATATTCATCAATGCATTCAACTCAAACATTTTTTTTCCGAAAGCAATAGATAAACTAAAACAACTAAACTAAAAAATATCCTAAGGCATGCAAACTAAAAAATTTAAGCACATAAATACAAGTAATTTTCCACCCCCAAACTTCAAATTTACATTGCCCTCAATGTAATTAGAACAAAGTTCAAGGATAGAATACACCTGATTAGTCGAAAGGTCATTTTATGGGATACACTCTTTGATGTTCGTTTGATCCACCTTTAACACCCGATCACTTAGTATTTGATTTTCGACCTGAAAATTAAAACAAGATTAAATTATTAGGTTGCGCATGCTAAAATCCTAAGAAAAATAAAAACTAAGAAAAATACAAAAATCGACAAATGCTCGTCTTCACTACACCATAAAATGGATTTTCTAACACATATATCCGTTAGAAATATTTTTTACAACAGCGAAAAAGCATTAGAAATAGTGCGTGAGAAATTATGAGCCTTTCATTTCTAACGGATATATCCGTTAGAAAAATAAAGCATACCGTTAGTATAATAATATTTGCTAACGGATATATCCGTTAGCAATACTTTCGTAACGAATAGTTTTGTAACACTCTATCTAAAATAGTAACGGATATGCCCGTTAGACCCATAAAACAAACCGTTAGAACAATATAGTTTGCTAACATATATATCCATTAGAAATACTACTGTAATCAATTAAAATAATTATATTGTGCATAAATTTATTATTTTTGTATAATTGAAATAAAATATAAAAGATTATAAAATCCATACATCAACATCCATAAGAATAAATTCTCTACCATTTTCCAACATTCATCAGTATTAACCGAAATATAAAAAAAAATCCATATTTACCAATTACAAGAATATTTCTACGACTGATTCATATTAACTAAAGTATCAATTCTCAAACACATGAACTCAAACATATGCTAACCAATTCTCGAGCCAAATCACATAATCCCCTTGAACAAAGCCAGCCAAAGTATCATAACCTCCTTGAGGAGGATCCCACAATCGAGCATTGGGATCAATCATTTCTTCTATATATATTTTCTTTTCATCACTTCCAACATTTTTGAAGTGACACGTCTTAGATGTACCATCTGTCACCACATGCCCCATTGCTATTTTTTTTACCAGACTTATCACATAAATATATTCTAGGATTTTCAGCACGAGTATTTGATGGAGGCACTTGTGTTACTCCAAGGGTGCCTATATTAGAATTTGATCCAAGCTCACTTGAAGATGTAGGTGTTCGACTTGTTTTTTCCATTTTTTCCAATTTTGAAAAAACGGAAAGAAGCAACCTTTCAAGACCATCGATTCTTGAGAGTACCTCATGTTTCCCATCAGTTGCATCTTTAAGCGCTCTATCTTTCTGTTCAATCTTTGACTTTGCTACCGAAAGATGAGTAAGTTGTTTTTTAGATACGTAGGAACCTATTGCACGAACTCCTCCCTTTTTCTGTTTTCCAAATACTTCCGCTATCTCATCATTATCAATGTCTTCATATGCCTCTGTACATCCCTCTCCACCCAAGCTTCGACTTTTTCTTTTATTAGCTGCAGCCTTCACTTGGTCCTATCAAATTCAAATGTGAAATCGGTGAAAACTAAATGAAGATAAAATAAGATGTTACAATCTATGGAATACTTCACTTACATATTTACTCTTAGCACGCTCAAGAATTGTTCCATCAACATGCTCATGTGCAGCCAACCATTTATCAGCACGAGAAATTTGTGCTGAAGGATTTTCTTGTAACTGAACAATAAAATTAGTAAGTTAGCTGAAAAAACAAGTAGCTGGAAATTTGTACTGAAGGATATTTGAAATAATACAAACCATTAAGTATTCCTTTTGTGCATAGCTGCGACGGCCAAGACAATAAGAAAACTCCAAGTTATCTCTGTTTTGCTTGTTTTGTTTATTTATCTCTATCTTTTTTGGATCCATCTCATTTTCTACAAACTTCCTCCAAATAATTGGGTCAATACCTGTTGGCTCAGTTTGAGTAGGACCACCTTTCTTCAAAAGTGCCCTTATCGAATTTTTGTGTGTCCTAAATTTTTGGGACCACGTTTTCTCAGCTAACGGTCGAGCAACATGTGGTGGAACATCTGGTTCAAATTCACCCTGCAATAATTAGGTTTGATTAATAATATATGAGGAAACAACAAATATAAATATACAAAAAGTACACAATCCAGATAATCACACAAGTCAACAACAACATACTTTCAACGAAAAGATAATCTGACCATGTGAAATTTTTAGAGGAAAAAAATGGCCCATACAGCTTACATTTTGTATGACATGACTGCATTTTACAAACACACTGGTCAAAATATCGAAAATCACTGAAAAGACAAATTATTTTAATGCCATAATTATATTCACTTTCGTTCATCCACTCTTTATTAATTAGACGAGACATGACCTTTGTACAAAAATAAAACGAGATTATTGAATGGATAGTCTAAGTATAGAACACTGACAAAACACTCATTTAAGTATTTTCGTTTACATTGAGCATATGTTAAGACCAATGTTTTATAGTTTATTTTTCACGTGGAGTTGTCACTATAAGACCAATGTTTATAGTTGTCTAGAGGATATCAAAAGTTGCAGCAGCATTTAGTGTATAGTAAAAATACTTTAGAAGAAATAGAAACATGTAATTTTGAATATACCTTTAAACTGCCACAAATTGTCGGAATTGTGAATTGGGAATTGTGCTGAAGAGTATATTGTAAAAGAAAGCTAGTCTGCAGGACATAAGTAAACCACCTGATATAAAAAACAACAAACAATTTAGAAAAGAAAAATAAGAAAAGAGTTGGAATTAAGAAAATAAAATCAAATAAGAAGAGAGAATCCCTCAACATCTTTGGTAGTGTCTGTTGGGGATCGTGCATGTATACGCAGCGGAATTTAAAAATTTTATATCGAACTAGTTTCGATTACATGCAAAACTAATCACATAGTCAACGTACCTTAACGCTTCCGCCATACATATGGTAATTATCGATTTAATTGAAAAACGCGTAAAACCGAAAATTACGAAACATGCTTATTCTTAATTTCACAAAATCGAAACATGTAATCACGTATTACTCATGCTTGCAAATTAATAATCATACAAACATGTTCGAATCGAATTACGAAAGTTCCGATTTATTACCTCTTGTAGCGTGAGATTTCGACGAATCGAAATCCTAAAACGAGTCACGTACAAGCTGCAAATAACCAATCCACGGGCTGCAATTCACGGCTGGAACAAGCTGATCCAGCAAGCGGCGAATGGCAACGAACGGCAGCAGCAGCGGCGGCGCGTGGCAGCGGCAGCGGCGGCGCGTGAGCGGCGGTGCGGCGCGTGCGGCGGTGCGCGGATTCGTCGGGGCAGCAGCTCCTCTCCAATTAGGTTTCACCTCGTATATTTTGACCCACTCGAACTACAGCACTAGATGTAAACGAGTTAGATAAACAACAAGAATAAACGAAGGAATAAACGGGAGAAAACCGGCGGTTTCCGGCGAAGACCGGCGGTGGCGCGGCGGAGATGCAACGGCCGAGAGGAGGGGCTGAGCGGCTAGGGTTTTGGTGCTGAAAAATCTGATCTCAAAACTCCTTTTGAGGTCTATTTATATCTAGGGTTTTCAACCCTAGCGGGCTTAAGTCATTGGGCTTGACCCACTGATGCATTAAGTCCATTCCCTTTACGGCCTCGTTTCTAATAAACGATCGTCCACAAAATTATAACAAAATTATATTTGTGACGAGCTCAAAGTCCTCGTCGATACGAGTGCCTCTTCGAAATTTCCAATTTCCAAAATTGGAAACTTCCAATTCAGTGGACTTGCTAAATCGGGAAACTTCCCAATTTAGAAAGTTCACTAAATTCCGCATTTCTCCTTTTCTCCACGTTTATTCCAATTCGCAATTCACAATTACGAATCTTGGATTCAATCATATCGACATCCAATCGTTCAAAGATTAACACATTAATCTATGCTTGTTGTTATCAAGGATCTATATTACACGAGAAGTGTGACCCTCAATGGTTCAGGTGTATGCTAGCCGTGGGCTCACAACTCTTTGTGATTCGAACAACACATTGTTCTTATACGAACTCCTCCCAAGAGTCCCGATTAGAGTAGAACTCATTTTACCTAATCCCGATCAAATCGGTGCCCAACGAATCAAGATTGGCGTCTAGCAACTACGCATCATGATTCCCTAGATACAAATGAAGTGCCTGCAAGAACCTTATGATATAGTTAGCGTACAGTACGATCCCTTCGTAGCACATGTCCCGATTGAACTAGAGGCATTGGTTCACCGAGACCTCTTATAAAGTTCAATAACCGTGCGAACGTTCTAGGTATTATAAATCCGTTCGTGTGCGACTTAGGGAAACACATTTCCCTAATCACCCCACTATCAACTCTGGCCAGAGATTCCATGGATTATAAACCGTCAGAACACACAGGACATCCATGACTACTCAAGCGCTCGAATCCCCTACTACAATGCACAGACTTCACACTAGATTTCGGATTGCACGAACGTTGGCCCTTGGAGCGGTCCGCGGTGGGACTCAGGGACAGGTCACGATACAATCGGTCCTCTAGTGAAGTCACGGTGATGTCTGGGTCTTAAGGACTAATGGTGTACAACTATATCTTAGAAACCTATTACTCGATGAATGAGAACCACTTATAGATTTCTAGGGCGAGGGAGTTCAGTGAAGTCATCCAGTATGAGCACCCACTCAAGTATGCCGATGTCACAACACCGAGGACTGATGAGACGCAGTACACATACACTAAGTGCTAGTCTCAAAAGGGAAAGGCCGGTATCCTCATTATTGGCGTAACCCATCGACTAGGAACAAGGTTTAACAGTTACATTACATTGCTGAGTTATCTCACGATTCTACTAGATCAACTCACAGTAATAGAGTAACTCGTTAGGACTATATCTATGCTGCTTGCATGGGATAACAGATATAGAATGCCAAATAAGATATTTTATTATTACGAACGAAAAACGATTGTTTTATTACAAAGAAAAGAGAAAGACCACAGCCACAAGTTGGCTTGCCGGTCACCTACTCTAACAATCTCCCACTTGACCTAAAGCCAACTACTCGTAAATCTAAGTCCCATCGACTCTCGATGTTTCTCGTGGACTGATCCTGACAATGGCTTGGTGAAGGGATCTGCAATATTGTCCTCCGAGGTGACTCTGTCTAGCTTGACTTCACCTCTCTCTATGATCTCTCGGATCACATGGTATTTTCTCAACACGTGCTTCGACTTCTGATGAGCTCTTGGTTCCTTAGCTTGCGCTACGGCTCCGTTGTTATCGCAGTACAGCCGTACTGGATCGCTAGCGTTCGGAAATACACCCAACTCTTGGATGAATTTCCTAATCCATGACCCTTCCTTTGAAGCATCTGATGCTGCAATATATTCAGCCTCGGTGGTGGAATCAGCCGTCGTGCCTTGTTTGGAAATCTTCCAACACACGGCACCTCCGTTGACTTTGAATATATACCCCGAGTTTGACTTCGAGTCATCCACGTCCGATTGAAAACTAGAATCCGTGAAGCCTTCTAATTTCAACTCGGTATCCCCATAGACCAAAAACAAATCTCGAGTTCTTCGCAAGTACTTGAGAATGTCCTTCACAGCCTTCCAATGGGCTGGGCCGGGGTCGGACTGATATCTGCTTGTGACGCTCACAGCATACGCAATATCAGGTCGTGTACACAGCATGCCATACATTATGCTTCCTATAGCGGATGCATAAGGTGTCCTTTTCATCTCCTCGATTTCCATTTGCGTTTGAGAACGCATGGATTTCGAGAGACGAACCCCATGGGACATTGGCAAGAATCCCTTCTTGGATTCTTCCATGCTAAACCGTTTAAGAACGGTGTCTATGTACATGGATTGGGACAAGCCAAGCAATCTCCTCGATCTATCTCTATAGATCCGTATTCCCAATACGTAGGATGCTTCTCCCAAATCCTTCATCGAGAAACGTGTGGATAACCATACTTTAGTCGACTGCAACATCCCTACATCATTCCCAATGAGTAGTATGTCATCAACATAAAGTACAAGGAAAGTCACTGCACTCCCACTAACCTTCTTGTAGACACAAGGTTCCTCCGGGTTTTTCACAAATTCAAACTCTTTGATAGTTGTGTCGAACCTTTTGTTCCAACTACGGGATGCTTGTTTCAATCCATAAATGGATCGCTGGAGTTTGCAAACCTTTTGCTCATCTCCAGAAGATATGAAGCCTTCTGGCTGCGCCATGTAAATTTCTTCCTCAATGTCCCCATTAAGGAAAGCGGTCTTCACATCCATTTGCCATATCTCGTAGTCATACCACGCAGAGATGGCCAGCAAAATCCTAATGGACTTAAGCATAGCAACTGGAGAGAAGGTTTCCTCATAGTCAACTCCTTGCTTTTGAGTATAACCCTTTCGCTACCAATCTAGCCTTGTAGGTCGATACCTTTCCATCTACTCCAATTTTCTTCTTATAGATCCACTTGGAGCCTATGGGAACGATTCCCTCGGGTGGATCTACCAAGGTCCATACCTTGTTGGAGTACATAGAGTCCATTTCGGATTTCATGGCATTTAGCCAATGTCCCTTGTCTGTATCCGATACAGCTTCGTTGAAAGTTCTAGGATCACATCCTTGGTCAACTTCATCAACGAGGAATAACCTATCGGGCGCTCTCCGAACTCTTTCGGATCTACGCAGCGACGGTTCAGGAGGTATGTTAGTGGTTTGTTGAATTGGTTCATTATCTGATTGTTGTGCTTGAACTTCAGATTGTGGTTCTCGAACTTCTTCGAGATCAACTACACTGCCCTTTCTATCCGATAGAAATTCCTTCTCAAGGAACACGGCATTTCTCGAGACGAACACCTTTGCCTCGGAAACATAGTAGAATTCGTATCCCATGGAATCCTCGGGATACCCCACAAAATAGCATAGGTCGGATTTTGTATCCAACTTATCTCCCACTAGCCGCTTCACGTAAGCGGGACAACCCCATATCCTAATATGTTTAAACGTGGGTTTCTTGGAGTGCCAAAGTTCATAAGGTGTGGAGTTAACTGCTTTGGTATTAACCCTATTCAGCAAATACACGGCAGTTAGGAGTGCATGACCCCACAGGTATGCCGGTAGCTCGGTGAACCCCATCATGGATCGAACCATGTCTAACAGTGTTCGATTCCGACGTTCGGAAACTCCATTAAGTTGAGGAGTTCCAGGAGGAGTCCATTGAGACAGAATCCCATTCTCTTTAAGATAGTCTATAAACTCAGTGCTCAAGTATTCGCCACCACGATCGGATCGTAGTTTCTTAATACGTCTACCGAGTTGGTTTTCTACTTGGTGTCTAAAATCTTTGAACTTTTCAAAAGTTTCAGACTTATACTTCATTAAGTACACGAAACCATACCTAGAATAATCATCGGTAAAGGTAACGAAGTAGTTAGAACCACCCCTAGCACTAACGCTTAGTGAACCACACACGTCTGAATGAATCAAATCCAAAAGACCCTCGGCCCGCTCCATCTTCCCTTTGAAGGGAGTCTTGGTCATTTTTCCTTTAAGGCAGGATACACAAGTTTGAAGTGATTTAACGTCCTCCAAGGAGAACATTCCTTCACTAACAAACTCGTTCATCCTTCTCAAGGAAATGTGACCTAGTCGAGCGTGCCAAAGTTGTGCGGGGTTAAGACTTATATCTTTTCGCTTTGCTGATATAATGTTAATAGGTATTTCACTTGGATTCAGTTCATATAAGTTGTTTATAAGTTGTCCCTTACAAATCATATTTTGTTCCTTTTGTATAATGCAAATCGAATTTCCAAAAACAAAAGTAAAACCTTCATTATCCAAAACAGGAATAGAAATAAGGTTTCGAATAAGTGACGGAACAAATAAACAATTGTTCAAAACAATGGAAAAACTAGAATCCAAAACAGAAAGATAAATTGTCCCAATGGCTTCAGCAGCAACTCTTGCTCCGTTGCCCATTCTTAGGTAGGTCTCACCCACATTAAGCTTCCTACTTCTTGTCATGAGCTGCAAATCATTACAAAGATGTGAGCCACAACCAGTATCCAATACCCAAGCAGAAGATTTAACGGACAAATTAACTTCAACTA